ATTATTGGAAGATTAGGAATTACAATGCGAAGGAAGTCATATATTTGATATAGTGATATTTTTCTTTTCAATTTTATAAGAGATTTTAAATTCAAATCTCGCATGAACTAAAATAAAATCTTCAAAATAATAAAATAATCTCTTATGACAACGTATGCCAACTTATCTCACGAACTAGATTATTACAATTGAACTTGACAACATCAAATCTCATATTCCACTAACTTTCTAAAACTACATAGGTTTAATCGCCTTCTTGCAAATGTTATATTTATAATAAAAAAATCAACAGGAGTTTTAATGGGGATTCAAATTTGAGACTTTTCCGATCCTATAAGGTCCAACCCGACACAGTAATTTTTCGTGACGTTTTGTATGGTGTTTACAGGTCGTGTACAATTTTGCAAGGTCTAGCTAGAAGCTATACTTGGTTCGGGCCAATAAAATGAGAAAAACCAGACTTGGGCCGGGCCAGAAAGGCAAGTTCCATCCAAAAGGCAACCCCACACCCAAAACGCACGACATAACCTACCCGCCCGCTCCTTTTCTCTCTAGTCAGTCGTCACTATCCTTGTAAACCCTAAACCCTGACTTTATTGCTCTCATCTCATCTGCAGAAGCCTCCGCTCCGATAGCCCCCAACTCTTTCAGGTCAGTATTGCTCACCTAAAATACTAATTAGAGTTTTTCTTCCCAAGTATGTTTGCATATATTTACAGCTAATTCTACTTGTAATGAAAATCAGATTTTTCAACAAAAAGTAATGGGGAAGAAGAGAAAGCACAGCGAGGCTGAGGCTGCGACTCGAGAAAAGAAGGAGGAGGAGGTCGCTCCAGAGAGGCCTAAGCGAACGCTTTCCGGTTGGAAGGAGAAGAAGGATGACCAAGTGAACCAAACTGAATCAACGACATTCTTTAGGAACAAAGAGAAGGTCTTGGTTACTTGTTCTCGTCGGATTAGCTACAGGTCAAAATCGAGTTCCATTTTTTCTCTGCTTCTAGCTCGTTGTTCAATTTATTCAAAACTAGAATGATTCGTTCATACTCATCGTGCAACTTGGTGAGAGTCGGGGAGGTCAGAGGGGTAGAGGTGTGTGGAGGTCACAGGTTTGGTTGAGAGAGGAAAGATGAGAGTAAAATACCAAATTTATTGAAAGTGGAACAAAAGTAGAAAGGGGATAGTGTATAATGGATATGCTATCTTTCTATCCATTATCAAATTTGGTTAAAAATGGTTGGAGTGTACTGGACAGTTCATGAACTTCCAACAACAAAGAGAGTTTCTACAATAATCTTATAGATTTTCCCTGTGATGAATGATTATGCTAATAATTTTTGCTTATATTTGTATGTGTGTCTGTATCCATATGTGTATATATAGATATGTTTGTATATGCTTATATGAATGATTATATATGTGTAGGTATCGGCATTTGATGTTGAATGTGGTGGATCTGTTGCCTCATTGTAAGAAGGACAGTAAAATTGAGTCTAAGTCAAGTAATGGCGCAACTCTTAACGAGCTGGTCGAGCTAAAGAGTTGCTCTTCCTGTGTGTTTTTTGAGGTCAGTTTTCTTATTGTTTCTTTCTTACCTGGTTTAGTATTTGTTATTTGATATTATTTAATACTATGTGTCCTTTTTTAATTAATAAATTGATAGTGTTAAGATTTTAGTCGGTGACACCATTTACATATGCACTGATAATTTTACCAGTGGTTAAGCAGTTGATAGAACTCTGTGCTTAGGACATTTTGGGTGTTTGAGATAGGGATAATAGCACATTGAGGTTGGGAACTCTGTGCTGATTTGTACTTTTGTTTGGGGACTCTCTGAATTACAGTGCAGGAAGGGGAAAGATCTTTATCTGTGGATGTCAAAATGTCCTAATGGGCCATCTGTGAAATTCTTAGTGAATGCTGGTAATGTTGCTACTTTTTTTTAATTTTGCATTCAGTTGGTTATCAAGAAAGATTGGCTTATTTCATCCGTTGTTAAAAAATTTGGGAAAATTTGTGATCAACGCAAATTGTTTGATGATTTTCAGTGCACACAATGGAGGAATTGAAGCTTACTGGAAATCATCTAAAAGGGTCACGACCTATTCTGACTTTTTCATCCAATTTTGATAAAGATGCCCACTGGAAGCTTTTGAAGGAAATGATCACTCAGGCATGTCTATTTTGCTTCCTCCTTATGTAGCAATAAACATTATCCTGATTATGTCCTGCTAGGTTGCTTGTGATCTGTTTGCCTGGTTAATTTAGATATTGTTTGGAATTTGTCCTACAGTATATCTTATTTTTTCCTATTAAACTTTATACTCAGATATTTGGCATTCCAAAGGAGCACAGGAAATCTAAGCCCTATCATGATCATGTCTTTGTTTTCTCTATCGTTGATGACCACATTTGGTTCCGAAACTATCAGGTACTGATTTTGTAGATTACAGTTTTTGGTTGAAGACAGTTGTGGTCTGACTTACATCTTATTATTGAATATTAGAATTGATTTTGGGTCCTTTATATTTTCTGCCCAAAATATAAACTGTGGCAGCTTTAAACCTTTTCGAGTTTAAATGCCAGTGTTGCCCTTGTGCAGGCAGCGTAGATGCTCATATGTGTTTTATGTATGACCTTTGATTTTTAGAATTTTTAACTTGCAACATAGTAGCATGACCTCTTCTCCGTGTTGGATGTATTATTAAGCAAGCATCCATGTATGAAGGTATCAAGAGTTGGTAGTTTGCTTTAGATTTCAGAGTCATTTGTCAAAATTTGTTTATCTGTCTCTTTGCAAGATCACTGCCTTTTAGTAGCCGCCTCAACATAACAGTTCTGAAATTCTTAGTTACCAATTTGAGTATGAAGAATTGGCAGTAATGCATGCATCACCAATAACCAGTGGGTTACCACAATTTTTGTGGGTAATTTAAAAGTTATCAAACATGTGATTAAGTGGATAGGAGGCATAAGAAGGGGGGATCAAGGAAATAATTTGATATTTTATCTGATAGTTGGGGACATTTTTATGGTTGATTGACCAATGAGCCCTATGAATTTAAAGTGGTACTATTGCCACCCCAAATTCTACCCGCCCATTTCACACCAAATTTTGAAAAATACCATCTTACTTGACCAATCTCCCCATCATTCCCATACTCCTAAATCCTATCCATCCCTAATATTTGTGGTTACTTTAATTGGATATGGCCATGGGTTGAGTAACATGGTATTTTTCTTCTGGTGTCAGTCGCTACCCTCCCTTGGGAGCCCAACTCTGGCCTCCAGTTTGAAGCCAGCCGCTGCTGGCCGCACTCACCCAAGGCGCAGCCTTCATTTCTTTTTTGGATTTTTAAAAGTTGTCCTTAAAGTAATTTTATGCTAGGATATAGTTGTGATAAATTTTTAAGAAAGGGTGGGAAGTGCATGATAAGGACTGCCGACAGTGTCAGTCTGAATTTCTTGTTAAACACTGATGATGCTTGTGTGTTAGTGGTTTTAACTAATTATACTCTAAGCTGATAAGGACTGCCGACAGTGTCACTCTGAATTTCTGCATGAAATTTTTTGATGGCACCCTAGTTTTCAGGTTGTAGCATATCAAAATTTGGTAGTGCAGATTCTGGAATAGAATAGGCTTATAAAAGAACATATTACTAACCATCCATACTCTACAGTAGCTAACAGAGTGGTAGTGTAGATTCTCAAATAACTGTAGAATTAAGATTTGCCTCATACCATATTATGTAACATTCGCTTAATACCACATTATGTTTGTGTGTGCTCAGGTCACGTATATTTGTTAGTCATATTATTTAAATAAAAAAATTGCTTACACTACTTCTGCATACTTCTTGACATTTCCCCCCCTTTAAATTGCAGATTTCGGTTCCACATAACGAATCAGATAAAGTAGCTCGAGGGGGATTAGATAAAATGACCCTTGTTGAGGTTCGTAGTGATACTTTGCTCCAGTTCTTTATATTAGGCTATCTGTGATGACAATTTAACTCAGAGAACTGGTTGTATATAGGTTGGACCACGATTTTGTTTGAATCCTATCAAGATATTTGGCGGCAGCTTTGGAGGACCAACATTATATGAGAATCCATTTTACATATCACCTAATCAGGTGAGATATCTTTATATAATATTTTTTGTTTGCATCTTGAATTCTTTATTTTGTTATGTCTAATTATTTATGTCTGCATGGATGAGTAGCAATTAACAGTTACTTTTTAGGGTTTACGGTTGAGGTTCCTTGGGAACTCTCTCTCTCTCTCTCTCTCTCTCTCTCTCTCCAAATGCAATGGTTTACTCTTATATTGATGGAATATTTTGTAATGCTATCAGATTCGAGCACTGGAGAAAAAGAAGAAGGCTGGGCATTATGTGAAGAAAGTCAAGGCAAAGACGAGGAGAAAAATGCATGAGCTTGACAACCCACTTGAGGCTGATGAGTTTTCTGAGATGTGGAAGGAATGAAAACTTTTAACTCCTGTTCTTCTCTCTTTGAAAAACAGAATTTTGATTTACAAGTCATGTTGTATCCACACATGGAAATGGCAGATTTTGGTTCTAACTGCCCATGCTCTTTCAAATATTAATTCTGTCCCAGCTGGATTATTAGCTTTTACATACATATGCAAGCTTGGTTTTGTTGCATTTTCTTATCTTTTCACTCTACATGTTTTTTTTTTCTTCACCAAACTTAGGATTGGGGAGGGAGGAAAATTCAGACACATGGGTACTATGGGGTTTTGAAAGAACTCAGAACCATTTGAGAACACACTAAATACTTGGGTCAAGTTAATTATTTATTGGGCTTTGTGCTGTTTTTATTTTATGACGTAAAAGTGCGCGCACAATATTTTCTTTAAGGGATAAATGCAGGTTCAGATGAATCACGAATCACGTTGATGTTTTTTTAATTGACATTATTTTCGTGTTTTCATAATAAAAATCAAATGGATAACATGCCAAAATGTAACACACTCAACTTCTGAAGATCATTCCAATATTTATATCCTTGTTCGTAGATAGAAAAACAAAAACACAAAAAAAACAACCAATAAAAAGGGAAAAAGATCAGAAGCAAGTTATTTTTTCAGCCAGGGTCACGGTGACAAAGCAAAGCACAATCACACTTTTCCTAATGGGAGGCCCACTCAGTCCAGTCTGCTTCACTTCCGACACGTGGAATGCTGTTGACCCTCGTATACTTATCTACATTGAAGGTGGCCCCACACATGACCCCTTCACTGTCTATCCTTGGCATTGGCTTCATCTTGTTCATTGGATGCTCAAAGCTCATCAAACCTCCCTCACTGTGAAACAAGCATCCTGCACAACAATCAATTAATCACAACCCTTGATTTTAATTAAAGCAACTTCTGCAATAATTAAAGCTTAAAACATAATTAATTAAGGTACCTTTTGGGAAGGGAGCAAATGATTTAGCACACCCCTCTTTTATGACCTCTAATTCGTCAGAAATTACAACAGATCCATCAGCTGCAATACCCCAGTAAAGCTGCACTCCACCATCAGAACCCTACAATCACAAGACATTAAATTTATGAATTTCATCCAAATTAAAATGATCCAAAAATTTTGGGTCCAATTTGTTAAACAAATTTGCTTTGCACAAGAAATTAAGAACACATAACATACCAGTGCAGCAAAGACATTTCCACCCTTGCTGTCATAGACAACAAAAGCAAAGCTTCCCTCAAGATCCTTCACAACCTGATCAGCTGGGTAAGGACCACGATCACGAAGGGTTCTATAAGCTTCTATCACAAACATGGCCTCATTGGTACACTTTGTTAGACCATATTGCTTATTTAGCAGACACAGATTGTTCAAGCTCCCCAAGAACAGGCAGTATATATCATCAAACCCACAGAACAACCTGAAAATTGATCAAACCACCCACACAAAACAATAAACATATATTATACAATAGTATGGGAAAGTAAATTTGAAGTTTTATTGTGTGAATATAAGCGATAGTCTAAACTACAAAGGGTTCTTCCACACGCTACTATAGGTTTCAAATTTGCGATCATTAATCTGCAAGTGAAGGATATTTTCACTGAGCTAGACCTGTTAGCATATATTTGAAAATTTTGGATGAAGAATTAGTACCTCTGGTGTTGGGAGTAAGAGGGTTGGTCTGGCTTGACATAAGCAAGCACTGCAGCACGGCCAAAGCCCATGGAGAAGGAGTTGTGAGGATGGTGGGAGAGGAACTCTGTGAGAGTCTCTTCTGGGAGCTTAGGCTTCTTGCTTCCATTGTGAGAAGCAGGACTGTTTAGCTCCTCTGGTGGGTGAGCACAAGCCTTGTGGAAAATAGCCAACATTTTGATATAAAAAAACTATGCAGATCAATCAGCCAACTTCTTTGCTTGAATATATTTTCCTTTTTACTTTATTGCTTTTTTAGGGCAAGGAGATTGTAAATGGGGGGTTTTTATCTATTTATAAGGTCACCTTCTCTGGTAAAAGTAAAGCCACTTGGGAGTATTATATAGCTGTGGTGACGTGGATCTTAGTTGTGTGTCGATGGATAAGATTCTCGTACTTCAAGATATTCCTATCCTTTTGTCTTCTTTCGACTCAAGAATTTCTTGCATAGTGATCCGAAATAAAGATAGAAGCTGTTTTGGTGGCCGACCTTCTTGCTTGCAAATACTGTGGGAGCAGTAGCTGCTTGACTCGACTTGTAGTTGGAGAAATTGAAGTTCTTTTGGAGCATGCTATGGGAAATTTAATAAATTTTGGGATAATTCTGTTCATCTTTTGTTTTCTAATGAGGGATGGAGTTGCGTGAGATATTTGTAATTTGGCACAGGAGGAAAAATAAAAAAAATGAAAAAATTAATTGGAATGACATCATCACAAGAAAAAGACAAGAGGCTAACTAGGTTAGCTGTCCAATTTCGTTTTTGTTGTGTGGAAAAGGACGAGCTCAGTGCTCTGTCCAACTAGCCTAATCCACATTTGTATTCGCTTTTATAGTTAAAAACTTAAAACAATAATAAAATTATACTTTAATCTAAATGTTTTGTTCCATCAATCTTGAGTTTCAAGGCCTAACATCCCTAGTTTCTTTAAAAGCATGTTTAGAACAAACTCAGATTTACAATAAAGTGCTTGAACAAATTTAGAAGGAAACAATCAAAGCAAGTGTGGAATTAGCTGGCTTTTTTGTTTTTTTAGTAAAAAGTTAACAATGATTATGTTTATGGATAAGTGTCAAGTATTAAGAAAAGTAGTGAGTATACACCTTGAATTAAAGTGACGAGTAACAATATTTTCGATGCTCATAAGTCAATTTTTTTCATATATTTATTGTCTTGATATTTCAGGCAGGAGACTTTGATGTTAATTAAAAAAAGAAATTGAGATATGGTTTGGTATGGTCTGGTGGGCTCTTTTAGGCTTATCCAAAGCAGCTAACAGTGACAGGGATAAGAGTCAGCTAGCTCACATGCTGCAACACCCCAATCTCCTGGGGTCCAATGTAGTTTTTGAGTGCTTTGTGGGTTTTGGAATTTGTTACTTTTTAAGCTTTTGAGATTGGTTCTAGGAGAAGATGCTCAAACCCACACCCCCCAAAAAAAAAAGAGAGAGAGAGAGAGCAAACTCCAAATGCTGTTCCATAAACTAAAATCACATTTGGTGCTTGACCCACCTCATGATTCATGATGCCGTGACAGACCGCCCATATTTATTTATTAGGATTAATGACTTAAATGGTCCCTCAACCCCAGTATTATTTTGGTCCACTAACTAAAGTTTTCAATTTAAACGTCTTTAAACTTTTTATTTTGTACCAAGATGGTCCATTCGTCAAAGTCTGTGTATTATTCCGTGAAATCGAGGGACAAAACCGTATTTTTAGGTGAGTATCCTTATCTAAAAGGGTTATTGATCCCAATGGTCCCCCAACTATTGCTCTAGTATCATTTTGGTCCACCAACTAAAATTTTCATTTGAACCGTCCTTCAACTCTTTTTTTTTTGT